TAGGGTGGAGGCTTCTACTGTTGCCATGTATCTCATGACATAAAGGGGCTTAATTGCTCCTTCTATTGAGCCTGGAAGAAAGGTGCTTAGCACATGCTTTGGCTTTAACAGGGGCTGTGATTGTCTATAGATCAAAGATCATTAACATCCTCCACATAACAGTATTTTGAGTTCCCTGGCAGTCAATTTACAGGAGGCAGATACTCATTCGAGGACCACATTCTAGACCTACTGAAGTCTAATGTTTAAACTCCCATTGACTTCAGTGGCCCTAAGAAAGAGAATGGGAGTTGCAGAATAAATGTGTAACACCTGTGTAAAATCCTGGCTTGCCAGTGCTGAGAAGCGCTGTCCTCTGTTTGTTCTCATTGGGTTCAATCAATACAGTAAATACTGATATATATATATTTTTTAACAGCTAAGTACAAGGGGGAGATAGCTAAGGTGTTCCTACAACTCTGGCAATCCTGACAGCCAAAGTGGCTCATATGGGGTGTGGGTGGGCAGGGTGCAATTTAATTTAATTTTTAATTAAAGGAGATATCCCATCTCCTAGAACTGGAAGGGACCTTGAAAGGTCATTGAGTCCAGCCCCCTGCCTTCACTAGCAGGACCAAGTACTGATTTTGCCCCAGATCCCCAAGTGGCCCCCTCAAGGATTGAACTCACAACCCTGGGTTTAGCAGGCCAATGCTCAAACCACTGAGCTATCCCTCCCCCCTAAGTGCAACTATAACCTGCACAGGGGGCAAAGAAGCCTGAGTATAAGGGAAGCACTAAATCTGTCGTGTGATGAGTGGAACTTGAGAAAGAGGGTCAGGTTTCCGGAGGGATCTGATTCAGGGAGGCACCAGGGGCTTAGCAATGCATGCTGGGGTCAGGCTGCTGGGGTACAAACACCGGAGCTTTGGCATGTAACACTGGCCTCTTAGGCATATTTGATAAAGTCTTATCTTTTGCATCTGTGCCTGCCTTCCTCCTCCCTTATTGTTAATGACACCCCCGGCCCTGGTCAGACCTTACTTGCAAACTGTGAACAGATATGAGCTAGAATCACTGCAAGCCAATAAACCTGGCAGCTCCTGGTGCCATTTCGGTCACTTTTCAGAGCACTTGAGCATTTTTGACGTTGAATATCAGTATTTCTTTCCGTGAGCTGGAGGCTCTTCTGCTCTTCCCTGAGGCATGAGGCTGAATAAGTCTCTTAACTTGAATCCTGACAGGTCCAACAGCAGATGCTCTTTGTGTCTAATTCTTCCCTGAATTGTGTCAAGTGTTTGAGATCCTTCAGCAGTGAGTCCTACAGGCTAATCACATACAGGACTTGCCTATACTACAAAATTCTGCCAACCT